AAAAGTTGCAAAAGACTCTTTGTATTTTATTTTATTACAGTAATAAGTATCACTTTATCTCTAGCATAGAAATTAAAATATATATAAATCTTTTTTCCGTTCATTTTTAAAAATTTTATTTTGATTTTTTAAGGTTTTAGATTTAAATTTTAAATAAAAATTTAATAATTTATATGAATAATAATTTAAAAAATTTATATAAAATTATTATCAAATATTTTAATTTAATTAAAAATTTTTAATTATTATTTATATACTATATTAAATTTTTATTTAAAATTTATTTTAAAAAATTAAATTAAAAATATTAAAAATAAATAAATAAAATATATATCTTAAAATATGTGAAAAGATGTTTAGAATAAAAAATAAAAAACGAAATGTGAAAAGAGGTTTAGAATAAAAAAAAAATCTATTATTATTATATAATAACTCATCAACTAATATATATATAAATTATAAAAAGGGTATTACTCTCGAGGCTGGCTCGGCTGTGGGGCTCGATGCATGCATATGGCACGTAAAAGCATCAATCTCTCTCTCTACTTTCAATTTATTTTTTTCTTTTTCTTTTAAACGTAGTAGAATGGGTGTGATCACCTAACCCGTAGGGGAAGGTGGGGGTGGGGGGGAACAGGTTCAAATCCTGGTGGGAAGGCAACGACATTTTCTTGTTTTGCGTACCCCTACGGCTTATATTCTACGAGCGCTACTGAAAGCCTTTTCAGGTCATGTAACAGGGAGCGCATTAATACTTGTGAGGGAAAATTTTTTCGTCTATTTAGTTTTATTTAGTTCGAATCTAGATTAATCCATGATTTAATAAATTTTTAAATATCAAGTGATTCATAAAAAAAAAAAAAAAAGAAGGAAGGAAGGAAGAAGAAGAAGAAAGCGCATTGAAAGCCTTCGGTGCTTCCGCAGGGTGAGCAGCCCTAAAACCGAAAAAAAGTTTGTAACCCTTACCTTATTTCTACGTTTCATCCTCTATTCTACCCACCTCAAATAAATGAGAAAAAAAGGAGAGGCCTATTGATTCTAAGTCACTACGAAAAGGTCAGAAACAATAAATTTCATTAATTTTTTGAATCATATAAGTAAATATTTTATTAAGAAAGTTGGGACAATTTTTGACATTAGCTCAGCCGCCCCACCCCACCCCACCTGTCAACTGTCATAGTCTGAATCAATATGTGGCCTCATAAACTTTTGCAATGTCACACGTAACCCTCATAAATTTTTTGTGCATAAGGAATAACCCCTTTCCTTGTAAAAGTTGCAAATGAATCCACAAAACGTCTGATGATATGATGGTAAGACTAATTAGCAACTAGAAAGTGAGCAATTATATAGGACTGAAACCAGAAAATATTACATAGCATGACTATTGTTATTATCCAGGCAAGTCACATGCTATTAGTTCACACAGCAGGTGAAACGAAACAGAAAAAGATGCAGAAAACACAACATATTAACAAGCTCTTGGCTTATTAACGTCTAAAGATCAGGGGTAACCTAACAGGAGAAAGAAACACACAACATTGTCGTCATCATCTAGTAACCACCTTGAATATATGCATTCAAACGGTTTAACTCCTCACGGTGTTCAATCACCACTGCTCGGACAACATCTCCGATGGAGACCATGCCAATCATTCCCTTGTTATCAATCACTGGAATGTGCCTGATGCGGTTATCTGCCAATTAACCATAGGTTTCAAGCTTACATTACCATTGCTGACACAGAAATGTTGTGGACCACGTACAAACCATGAAATTAAAGTTTGAAATCAAAGGAGATGCATATCATACCAGTCATCAACTGCATTGCTCGCAGAACTTTTGTGTCTGGGGTAACGGTGATTAGCTTGTTCTACAACCACCATGAAAAAGAGTCTTAGCATTGCCGAAATGAAAGGATACCAATTAACATATAACGTCAACAATCAGCTACTAGACAAGGGCAAGGGAAGAAGACACAAACAACAATGATACCTCTTCAGTCATAATATCCCCAACCTTAGTTGACTTTGATGATCTTCCCTGTACTATTATCTTTCTGAGATAATCTGAAATTATATCATCAAACAGAAGAAACACATTAATGAATGAGCAAACTGTGCATTCTCTCAGATTCTACAAGCGTTTTACAGGGGTAGAATAACTTGACTTCAAAGTTAAAATGCAATAAAAGGTTAATGTTAATCAGCGGGATTTACTTAACACTTTCGACAAATCATTTAAGGTTTCCAACAGTTTTGGTTGTTTGTCTTTTCCTTTTTGTTTTGAAATACACTATATATTTTGAAGATGCTTCTTAGAAATGAATACCTCTCTCTGTGATGATCCCTGCAATTGAATTCTGCTCACCAGGCTTTACAACTACCAAGGCACCGACATTGTGTTGTGTCATCTGAAAAAGCGACGAGTTGTTTATGATGCACAATTATATACCAGTCCTCAAAGATAAGATAAGATGGGAAAAAGTATTCCAACAAGCATAAAGATGCGTTATATATCTATACATACCGATTTGACAGCATCATAAACAGTGTCGTCTGTAGCGCACCAAAGCCAGGAGCCATCAGCATTTTTCCCTTTTGCTTTCAAGATGTCAGCAATGGTAGTGCTCTCAAAGCCATGCTCTTCCATACGGGCAGATGAAACAGACTCAAATCGAGTAAACATGATGGATCGCATAACAGGAGTGGCAACACGAATTCGTTGCAAGACAGCATTTTTAACAGTGTTACCATGCAACCGAAAAGCCTGAATTCCCGCTTGCATTTTGGCTGTAAAAACTAATTATAAAGATGCAATACAGAGTTTTCCTTCCTTTGTAATTAATTAATGAGATGTGTTAGAAATGATTTTGTAAGTAACATACATAGTACCTATATATAAATATAAAGATGCGAATTAGGATGACAATCTCTATAGCAGAAGAAATTGTTTTGGGAGTCAGGTAGAGCTAGTAGTATTAAACAAGAATAGATTTTGTAATGTAATGGTACGAGCATCCTCAGCCTAA